CCGTGACCCGGGTTGAGATTGAATGGTCACGACGGGGGCTGTCCAGCCACCATGGTTGAAACGCACCCCCCACACACGTATCGGCAAGGCAGGCAGGGGTCCGCAGCCACGAACGAAGGGAGAAGCCAGGGTGGGCGGCTGATTGGCGTGGCGGGTGTGTTCGGGGACCGCCGCCGGCGCCGCAGTCAGCGGCGGGCCCATTGTTAGGGAAACCGGGAGAGCGGCTGAACAGGCACGGCGACCTGATTGGCCGAGAAGGCCCTCGGGTCGGCTGTCTTTGATGTGGGTTTGCCATAAAAGGGGGGCGCAGAAAGGTAGAGGGCTCTCTTGCTCCTGAAGTCAGCGCCCTGGACGGTCCCCAGTTCGGCCACTCGAAGGTCCGTGAGACGCGTCGAGGTGAGCAGCGAGGACGAGACCAGCGGAGCGCCTTGCGCATCTAACCGTGAGTAAGAGGAAAGAGTGTTGGGATTGAGGCAAGAGGAACCAAAACTGCGTAGAACCATTCCAATTAGATAAATCGGGTACAGACCCTCGGGCGATAGTGTAGGCCTGCCTTGCCGAGCCCTACTGACCCAACAGTGAATCGCAGTCGGCTGATAATAAATCATTAATAACTCGCCGCAGCCTCGTGTGGTTTGGACGAGCGGGTGAAAGCGCGTGGTGCTGTGTGTGTGTGTGTGCTCGTAACGTGGGTGGTCGGTGTTTCCGCGGGTGCACGCTCCGTTCTGTCGCAGTGGAGACTCGTGCTGCGTGAGGGCTCACACCCACCCTAAACGCCTGTTCCACGGCCCCTTTAAACGAGCGTTGGTCACCCGCTCGCTGCGGGCCGCGCGTGTGCGAGCAACGTCATTCGCCCTCCGACCTCCGACCCCCCGTTCACAGCGTGTGATTGCTGCGCGGGGCTGTGCGAGGGGAGGCGTCGCGTTTGATTGGCGGAGAGGCAACGCAGTTTTTACAGGCGTCCGGGAGCCGGCGACGAGCCATGCCTCTCTCGCGACTCAGGGAGGGGAGCCGTCGGATGACAGCCCTTACTCCGCGAGCGATGAGCCCAGCGGCAGCAGCAGCGGCTGTTTGCACACCAGCGAGGGGTCGGGAAACGGCGGGACCCCTGCAGTCGGCGCCCAGCAGGGAGAGACCTCGGGGGCCAGCGGCACCAACACTTTCTCCACCCCTTATAGTCCCTGGCCCACGTGATACCACGCAGCCAATCCTCAGCCACAACCCTGGAACTTTCCCGAAGATACTATCCAGCTCCAGGGCCACGCCCCTGGCTCGACTCCCCATTGGCTGCGGGCTGAGGCCGGCAGAGCCAATCATCATCATCCAGGTGTAACCTCACATCAAACACGTAGTACAGTTATATGTTAGCTATGCAAATACGCTTTGTCACGAAACGTGTTTTTCACTGGACTTTAGGACATCGTGACTAAACCTGAATGTGTACGTAGCATTTGGAATGTCTGGAAATGCTGTATTATGTTAATAAACTGCATGGTGCAGCTTTCACAAAAAAGAGAGGGAGGGGAGAGGGAGTGAGGAGGGAGGGAGGGGAGAGGGAGTGAGGAGGGAGGGAGGGGAGGCAGGGACGTGGAGGTGTTGTAGACAATTGTAATAAAGGACTTTGACGACACGCAGCTTGGTCTCCGTCTCTGTCTGTATTCTTGTCATGTCGCTCACACTCCGCCGGTCCCGACCGCGGAGCGGCTGTTCCACTGGCGCGCCCCGCGCGCTCTTGCCGTCAGTAGCACTCCCGCACACCGCTGGCTGACGGTGTGCTTGGAGCCGTCTCCAGCCACGTGGCCGATGGCGCTGGAGACCTCTCACGGCTCGACGTGGTCCCACTTCGAGTCTATGCCAACTCCCACGAGCCTCTTCCGGATCCCCCCCTTATATTCCCCTGCCACATCATCCCGTCTCCACCTTCCACGACGCCCTTTCCGAACATTCCAGATCACGCCCTTCACTTAGCGCCCCCCCCCCCCGGCTCCGCCCCTAGGCTCTGCCCCTGATCATCCGGGCATCCGATTGGACCGGAGGTGGGCGGCAGACCTCCCCATACGCCCACCTTACTGGGCCCCGCCCCCAATACTCCGGGCCGTCCGATTGGCCCAGAGCTGAGCGGCGAAACCTCACTTACGCTCGCATTACATCATACCCCCCCCCCGGTGTAAAAGACCAGCCGTCCCAGCTGAATCAGGACCAGACATAATGCGAGCGACAGAGTTACCGCACGAACATGAACAGACGGAACAGGACAGCACAATAACAACAGCAACGATCAACGAAAGGGAAGGGATTTGGATCTAGTATGGAACGCCGGCCCGTCCGTCCCATGAGCCGGCACCCTCGCTGACTGCAATCTGGACGGGGTTGGAAGAGCGGCGGAACCAGAACTGTGCAGCAGGAATCGGAAGAGCAGCGGGATCATCACACTCCGCCCCAGGCGGAGACTCGTCCAGCCCAGAATCCCGTGCATCAGGGAGAGCGGGGACCGGAGCTCCTGGACAAAATGGCGGCCTCCTCCGATTCCGTCGCGGCCTGCTCCCAAGATGGCGGCGCCCCGCCACGTGTCGGCGATGGCGGGAAGCCTCGCAGAGGCCGCGATGGCGGAAGGCTCGGGCCCTCCCCAAGACTTGTCATCCTGGCCCCTTCGTGACCAGGGTCACCAAGTTAAGCAAAACAGCCCGCAGCGAGTCAATCTGACCAGCCCCTCCTCACCCAGCCCCTCCCCACCCTCCCTCCCCACCCAGCCCCTCCCTGCACGTCGGACGGACGGACACAATAATCCCCTGTGGGCTGGTGTAACCAGGAGGTTCCAACCGGTATAATATAGGTTCCTACCGGTAATATCCCAAAGCGAAACCCTTCTGCAAAACAGTTGAGTCTCAGTGTGGCCCTTCTAAATGAATGAATGCTCATTGCCCTATCGACGCACGATCCCTGGAAAATTCTCGCCGAGTCTGAATATTTCAGGAGCGAAGTTTGACGGCGTTCACGACCGCTTGCGATGTGGCATAGGTCGCAAACGGATTTTGATTCCTTACCCGTAACCGTACCCGGCCGCACCAGGGTCGCAAACGGGTACCCGTACCCGGCCATACCCGTACCCTACCCGTACCCGGCCGGGTACGGGTATCGGGTACCTGATTGCGACCTCTGGGATGAAGCCATGTTGCAGGCGCGGGTGGGTTGATTCTAGGAATTTGAATTGTGAGAAGAGACAAGACGTTGGGAAATGAGTGACAAACGGTGACTCACCAGTGACTCAAGGCCTACCCGTACCCGTACCCGGCTGCACCAGGGTCGCAAACGGCTACCCGTACCCGGCTGGGTACGGGTAGCCGGGTATCGGGTAGGGTACGGGTATCGGGTACCCAGCTGCGACCGCTTGGGATGTGGGAGGAGATCGGCGTGGCCGAAGGTGAACCCTCCGTGGGCGTGAGGGTGATCGCACTCAACCACCGTCGCCTGGCACTTCGCAGCCCCACGTGCCTACGGCACCCGGCAAGCCCTGATTGAAGTACTCGCCCCCCCCCCACACACACACAGGGCTCCACTTTGCTCAGCGCACTCCGATGAACTGGGGCACGTTTGAGGTTAGGGTGCAGAAATAAAAAAATCACGTGATTACAAATGTTTTTAAATATGGATACACCGCGTGATCTGTACCTGGAGTATATTTTACTTGTCCAGAGAGGCAACGATGGGTAGATTGTCAGTGTTGACTATCTGTTCAGTTTGTATTGCCTCCCAGGAAAGCCTGTTTAATTTCTCTGGCCTAATAACAATATCAACAACAGCAATAGAATGTTATAACGAAGCTTCCACGACCAATATTACAAGTCATAATTAGTTAACGTTGGGTTTGGCGGTGCAGGTGTTATGTAGATATTCACGCGTAACCCTACACCACCCGACAGCTCTAATCAAATCAAATTGCCACCACCCACCACTATCATCGCATTCTTCACAATCGCCACCACCATCGTTATTTCTACTCTCGTCAACATCATAATCTTCGTCATCAATGTCATCATCACGAATGTCACCACCACTGACACCACCATCAGCAGCAACAGCATCGTGGCAATATTCACAACCACGAGTTCTCAACACAGCGCCTGCCAAAGAGTGGACTTTCAGACGTGTACACTCCTAAACAGGAGATGTGGGGCGATATGGATATGCATTAGGTTTAAAACCGCATTGAGGTATTAAAATAATAATATCAAACATAAGCGATGACAAAAAAATATGTACGTACAAAAACATGTCATTTATGACAGAGGGAAATCCTGTACAGCCAATAATTGGAATGAGTTCTCCTTTCACATAATGGAGGATTTTCCAACCAACATTTATATACATTAATACAGTTTCATTCAGAATTAGCTTGACCTGTGATGACTTTTGATTATAATTGTATATATAAGTGATACATTTGTATCAAGCTCTGTATTATTTCCCACAGCAAAATGGTCCCATTATAGACGTAACTGATAAATGCAATGAACTGAAATAGATACCCAAGAAAGGAGTTCCAGTCCAATGAAGTGTTCAACTTGCCGCCTTTATTACCATCATGACGTCTTCAGCAGCAGCAGCAGCACGGAACAACTTGAGGGAATGGCTCTATCGCAACTCGCGTTTAAAATTTCACAACGCGGTTCTTTGCGACACGTCATGGGCACACAGCGCTTGCATTTTTTTAACGAAACTCGACAATGTTAATAGGCGGAGCAAGAGACAACGTTGAATGCAAAGAGATCATCACTATCTTCTTGGTTCTTTCGGTAAAGTCACGTAGAAGGGAAATAATAAAATAATAATACATTTCACATAATAAATACAATTCTCATGACGTTTCGGCCACGACGCTGTCTTTCCAACAGACCTGTTCTCCACCTGAGGACGGCTGCTTGCGTTGTGGCTGAAACGTCGTGAGAATTGTATTTTATTACGTTTAATTTTACTATTTTATTATTTCCCTTCTACGTGACTTTACTGAAAGAACCAAGAAGATGAATCCCTGCAGTCACGAAAGCTTTACATCGAAATGGAGGCGTAACGATGGTAAAGACTGCGAGAGTAAGAAAGAAACGCTTCCCTCAAGACGTCTCCTCCGGTGTCTACGACACAACAAGGCGATGCAACACCAACGTCGACCCCGGCAGATCACAAAGCAGCTCGCCGTACCGACACGCTCCCACTTCGCACCGTCACCAAACGAAGCCGGCGCCGGCGATGGAGTAGCGCCACGCGGCGCACGCGATCGGCGACACGAGCGTGAGCAGCAGAGCCGTGGCCACCGTGACGTCGAGGCACGAGACCCCGTTGGTGACGGCCTCCCGCCCCGCTGGCGCCGCTGACGGCGCCGTCGCCCCTGCAAACAGGTGCGGGGCGGAGAAATGTGCAGGTTGGAAGTTTCGATGTAAAGCTTTGGTGACTGCAGGGATTCATCTTCTTGGTTCATTCGGTAAAGTCGTCACGTAGAAGGGAAGTAATAAAATAATAAAAATAAAACATAATAAAATAATTCTCACGACGTTTTGGCCACAACGCAAGCAGCCGTCCTCAGGTGGAGAGCAGGTATGTCGGGGAGAACAGCGTCTGTCTACTCTGTCTCGACCTGTTCTCCACCTGAGGACGGCTGCTTGCGTTGTGGCCGAAACGTCGTGAGAATTATTTTATAATATTAGATTTTTATTATTTTATTATTTCCCTTCTAATTGACTTTACCGAAAGAACCAAGAAGAAGAGGTCTAATGGGAGACTTTAACATTGAAGTCTATGGGAGTATTTAACGTTGAAGTCTATGGGAGCCTTTAACATTGAGGTCTATGGGAGGATTTAACTTTGAAGTCTATGGGAGCCTTTAACATTGAAGTCTATGGGAGGATTTAACGTTGAAGTCTATGGGAGACTTTAACATTGAAGTCTATGGGAGGATAACGTTGAAGTCTATGGGAGCCTTTAACATTGAAGTCTATGGGAGGATTTAACGTTGGAGTCTATGGGAGGATTTAACGTTGAAGTCTATGGGAGCCTTTAACATTGAAGTCTATGGGAGACTTTAACATTGAAGTCTATGGGAGGATTTAACATTGAAGTGTATTGGAGCCTTTCACATTGAATCCCAGCATGAATGGGGCATGCACTTGGGAACCTAACCAGCCAATGGACATTCACAGAGTGGCTGAAACCCGGTCTTTCAAACCCAGTTCACTGGGCTGACCCCGGCCATTTGCATCGTCAGGGTCAGGCGATGGAAGCCAGCGCCCTCCCGCGTACCTGGCGAGGTAGCTGACATCTCGTCGCCGGTGGTGCCCTCCTCCCCGTGGGCAGAGTCCTCCTCCTCGCCCTCCTCTTCACCCTCCTGCTCCTCCTCATCGTCCTCCTGCCTCTCCTCCTCCTCGCCCTCCTCCTGGCCCACCTCTTCACTCTGCTCCTTCTCATCTTGCTCCTGCCTCTCCTCCTCATCGTCCTCCTGCCTCTCCACCTCCTCCACCTTGCCCTCTCCCTCCTCGCCATCATCCTCCACCACCTCATGGTCATCCTCGCCATCCGGCGCCACTGTGGGGGTGGAGGTGGTGGTGGTAGGGGTGGGGTGGTGGTGGTAGGGGTGGGGGTGGTGGAGGGGGTGGTGGTGGTGGTAGGGGTGGGGGGGTGGTGGAGGAGGGGGTGGTGGTAGGGGTGGGGATGGTGGTGGAGGAGGGTGGTGGTGGGGTGGAGGTGGTGGGGGTGGTGGTGGTAGGGGTGGGGGGGGGTGGTGGTAGGGGGGGGGGGTGGAGGTGGTGGTGGTGGTGGTAGGGTGGTGGTGGTGGTGGGGGGGGTGGTGGGGTGGTAGGGGTGGGGGGGGTGGTGGAGGTGGTGGGGGGTGGGGTGTGGTGGTGGTGGGGGGGTGGGGGGGGGTGGGGGGGGTGGTGGTGGTAGGGGTGGTGGGGTGTGGTGGTGGTAGGGTGTGGGGGTGGTGGAGGTGGTGGAGGTGGTGGTGGTGGTAGGGGTGGTGGAGGTGGTGGGAGTGGTGGTGGTAGGGGGGGGGGGGTGGTGGAGGTGGTGGGGGTGGTGGAGGGGTGGGGGGGGTGGTGGAGGTGGTGGTGGGGGTGGTGGTGGTGGTAGGGGTGGGGGTGTAGTGGTGTTGATGATGATGGTGGTGGGGGTGGTGGAGGGGGTGGTGGTGGAGGTGGTGGTGGTAGGGGTGGGCGGGTGGTGGAGGGGGTGGTGGTGGAGGTGGTGGTGGAGGTGGTGGAGGTGGTGGAGGTGTAGTGGTTTGCGCTGCGCTACAATCCCGGCGACCCGAGTTCGATTCCCGCTCACGGCCACAAACCCCGGTGACCATTACCTCAACCGGTCCTGGGCCTCCCCTGGGTCGACCCGGCCTCAAACGAGTACCTGGTGCGGTGAGTGGTGAATGTCGGTGCCGGCACTCTGCCAACCTTCGACGAAGAGGTGCACACGGAGCAGCTGTGAGCCCAGGTCGTTGGTGGCGATGCAGACGTAGGAGTCGTTGTCCTCGCGCCGCACCGCAGCGACGCGCAGGGTGCCGTTCCTGAAGGTCCGGTGGCGCTTGCCCTGCAGGCGGAAGCTCTGTGAGTCCTTGAACCTGGCGGTGTGTGTGGCGCAGGCGGGGAGAGAGAGAGGGGGGGAGGGAGGGAGAGAGAAACCCGCCGATGATATTCACGAAACCGACTAAACTCCGATGAGCAGTGGTTGGCCACGTAGGGTGCGAAAGAAGTTCAACGTAGGTACAGTCCTCGCGACTAAGAGTGCCCGAGGCATCCGTAGCTCAGTGGCAAATCACACAAACTGCCTCACGCGAAATGGATTCCTCTAAGACGAAGGTACTTTGCAAGCCCACTGGCTATCGACAAAAGATTCGTTCACGAAGCCACCCACATACAGTGGTACCTTCACTTACCAGTGTCCTCACTAACGAGTGTGTCGAGACACGAGCCGTCTCTCGGCCGATACTTTGCTTTGAGTCGAGAGCTAAAATTCGGGTCACGAGCCAGCTTCAGACACCCCACGGCTAGTTGGCGCAGAGAACGCCGCACTGAACGCCGCAGTGAGAAACACTCAGCACTCACACACTCACTCACCACTCACTCACACACTCACTCACTCACCACTCACTCACCTGGTACGGAGAGCAAGACCAGGCAGGTGAGAAACACTCACCACTCACTCACCACTCACTCACTCACTCATACACTCACTCACCACTCACTCACTCACCACTCACTCATACACTCATACACTCACCACTCACTCACCTGGTACGGAGAGCAAGACCAGGCAGGTGAGAATCACTCACTCACTCACACACTCACTCATACACCGGGGTGCTACGGTACACCGGGGTGCTACGGTACACCGGGGCGCTACGGTACACCGGGGCGCTACGGTACACCGGGGCGCTACGGTACACCGGGGCGCTACGGTACACCGGGGCGCTACGGTACACCGGGGTGCTACGGTACACCGGGGTGCTACGGTACACCGGGGTGCTACGGTACACCGGGGTGCTACGGTACACTGGGTGCTACGGTACACGGGGTGCTACGGTACACCGGGGTGCTACGGTACACTGGGGTGCTACGGTACACTGGGTGCTACGGTACACGGGGTGCTACGGTACACCGGGGTGCTACGGTACACTGGGTGCTACGGTACACGGGGTGCTACGGTACACCGGGGTGCTACGGTACACCGGGGTGCTACGGTACCACGGGGTGCTACGGTACACCGGGGTGCTGCGGTACGCGGGGTGCTACGGTACACCGGGGCGCTGCGGTACACCGGGGCGCTGCGGTACACCGGGGTGCTACGATACACCGGGGCGCTACGGTACACCGGGGTGCTACGGTACACCGGGGTGCCACCACGAGGTTCAGGGCAGCCAGGGCAGCCTTGCGTCTCACCACAGGATGTCGGCTGGCGGCCACGCCAACACGGCACACTCCATGTACACCTCCCAGCCCTCTCTCGCCTCGTACAGCCTGTCTTGCTCCGACAGCAGCTGTGGAGGTGCGGCTGTGGGGGGGGGCGGGGGAGGGGGCAGAGACGGCCGGCCGGAGGGGTCGTCCGTCAGAGGAGTCGGTCCAAAGTGCCCTGCCTAGAGGGGGGCAGCCTACAGCCGCCTGTCCAGTCACGGGCCTCCTCCTCATCCTCCTCCACCTCCCTCCCACCTCCTCCTCACCATACTCCTCCTCCCTCCCACCTCCTCCTCCACCCTCCTCCTCCACCCCCTACCCCTCCTCCCTCCTCCACCCTCCTCCTCTCTCCTCCTCCACCCTCCTCCTCCCACCTTCTCCTCATACCCCTCCTCCTCCCTCCTCCTCCCTCCTCGTCCTCCCTCCTCCTCCCACCCCTACCCCCCCCCCACCGCTCACCCGGCACTTTGACGTAGGCGTTGGCCAGGATGGTGCCGTGTTGGTTTGAGGCCTCGCACTGGTACACGCCGGTGGCCTCCTCCTGCAGCCGCCTCAGGGTCAGGGAGTCGCCGTCCACGCTCCGCCCGGCTACCGCGGGGGCCTCTGCTCCACCGCACACCACACCACACCCGGCACGGCACGGTGTGGTGGTGTGGTGGTGTGGTGTGGTGGTGTGGTGGTGGTGTGGTAGTGTGGTGGTGTGGTGGTGTGGTGTGGTGGTGTGGTGTGGTGGTGTGGTGGTGTGGTGGTGTGGTGTGGTGGTGTGGTGGTGTGGTGTGGTGGTGTGGTGTGGTGGTGTGGTGGTGGTGTGGTAGTGTGGTGGTGTGGTGGTGTGGTGGTGTGGTGGTGTGGTGTGGTGGTGTGGTGGTGTGGTGTGGTGGTGTGGTGGTGTGGTGTGGTGGTGTGGTGTGGTGGTGTGGTGGTGTGGTGGTGTGGTGTGGTGGTGTGGTGGTGTGGTGGTGTGGTGTGGTGGTGTGGTGTGGTGGTGGTGTGGTGGTGGTGTGGTGTGGTGGTGTGGTGTGGTGGTGTGGTGTGGTGGTGTGGTGTGGTGGTGTGGTGGTGTGGTGGTGTGGTGTGGTGTGGTGTGGTGGTGTGGTGGTGGTGTGGTGTGGTGGTGTGGTGGTGTGGTGTGGTGGTGTGGTGGTGTGGTGGTGTGGTGGTGTGGTGTGGTGTGGTGTGGTGGTGTGGTGGTGTTGTGTTGTGGTGTGCGGGGTCTTGACGCGATTATTATCAGAAGAATTTGGCAAAATGTATTGCGACTTGGTATTGCGCGGTGTGATTTGGCATTATTATCACAATTTGGCACAATCTGGCTGAATTCGGTAGGCTCTGTGATTGGTTGACTAAGTGTGCAATCAGCTGTGAGTGAGCGTGTGTGATAGGCTGTGAGTGAGTGTGGGTGTGTGATAGGCTGTGAGTGTGATAGGCTGTGAGTGAGCGTGCGTGTGTGATAGGCTGTGAGTGAGATAGGCTGTGAGTGAGCGTGCGCGTGTGATAGGCTGTGAGTGAGATAGGCTGTGAGTGAGATAGGCTGTGAGTGAGATAGGCTGTGAGTGAGCGTGGGTGTGTGATAGGCTGTGAGTGAGATAGGCTGTGAGTGAGATAGGCTGTAAGTGAGATAGGCTGTGAGTGAGCGTGGGTGTGTGATAGGCTGTGAGTGAGATAGGCTGTGAGTGAGATAGGCTGTGAGTGAGATAGGCTGTGAGTGAGCGTGGGTGTGTGATAGGCTGTGAGTGAGATAGGCTGTGAGTGAGATAGGCTGTGAGTGAGCGTGCGTGTGTGATAGGCTGTGAGTGAGATAGGCTGTGAGTGAGATAGGCTGTGAGTGAGCGTGCGTGTGTGATAGGCTGTGAGTGAGATAGGCTGTGAGTGAGATAGGCTGTGAGTGAGATAGGCTGTGAGTGAGATAGGCTGTGAGTGAGCGTGGGCGTGTGATAGGCTGTGAGTGAGATAGGCTGTGAGTGAGATAGGCTGTGAGTGAGCGTGGGTGTGTGATAGGCTGTGAGTGAGCGTGTGATAGGCTGTGAGTGAGCGTAGGCGTGTGATAGGCTGTGAGTGTGATAGGCTGTGAGTGGCTAAATCATGGGACCTCCTTTGCCAGTACCAAAATATGAGAAGGGGTTTTCCCCTTTTTTCTGGCAACAAAACAGCTGTGTTGAGATGTTAAACCACCAAACTGAAACCTTTCACAAGGAATCATGTCACTGCATTAACCACAATACTTGTGGTCAGATTGCAAGCAATAAACATCCTCTGATAGTAGTATGATGCATTGTCTTTGAAACTGTGAAACTCACAGAAACTGATTGGTCCACACCAGAGAAAGCTGCCTCTGGTGTGGACCAATCAGTTTGAAAGACAATGCATCATACTATCTCCTGGCCAAACCCCATTTGGCGGAGCCAGGAGATTGAATCTTTACCCTCGGGGCTCCTCCAGAAACAACAAAAAACCACTGCAGGTGGCCACGTGGAATGTTCGAACGCTCACTGCGGAGGAGAGGCTGCCACTCCTCTGTCGAGAGCTGGAATGGTACCGCCTGGACCTCTGTGGTATTCAGGAGGTCCGGTGGACCGGCTCTGGCTCCTGCCACCATGAGGGGTGGACAGTCCTCTACTCGGGGCAGGAGACTGCCAAACAACAGGGAGCGGCTGCTCTTCTGAAAAAAGAATGAGGGGGGCGTGGGAGCGTGGCGATGAGGTGTGGGAAGCTGTAAGCCCCAGGCTACTTTGGGCTCGCCTTCCCATCAACCAGAGGCGAGGAGTGGTGGTCATGGTTACATATGCCCCCACCGAAGATGAACATCCGTGGAGGGTTGCAGGCAAGGTCGATGAGTCAGATGCCTTCTATGACCTCCTGTCACAAGTGGTAGCTAAAGTGGCCCCTCGGGATATACTATCAGAGTATGTTTATTGTTTGCATCCTGACCACTAGTATATGTGGTTAATGCAGTGACACGATTTCTTGTGAAAGGTTTCAGTTTGGTGTTTTAACATCTCAACACAGCTGTTTTGTCGCCAGAAAAAAGGGGAAAACCCCTTCTCAGGCTACGAGCGTGCGAGCGTGTGAGCGAGTGAGCGTACGAGAGAGCGGCTGAGCGTGTGAGCGAGCGCGTAGGTTTGGACGAGCGGGCGAGGAGGCGCCTCACCGCTGATGGGGACGCCGTTGAAGAACCAGCGGACGAGCGGTTTGGGGATTCCGTCGGCGAGGCAGGCGAGCCTCACCGTGTCCCACGGTGCGTAGAAGCGCCCCTCTGGCTCCGGAGTGATCCAGTACGGCTTGGCTGGAGGGGGGGAGCAGGGGGAGGAGGGGGGGTACTCGTTTGAGGTCGAGTTGACCTAGGAGAGGCCCGTGACCGGTCGAGATAATCGTCGCCGGGACCTGGGCTGCAGAGGTCGCAAACGGGTTTTGATTCCTTACCCGTACCCAGCCGCACCAGGGTCGCAAACGAGTACCCGTACCCGTCCGGGCATCGGGTAGCCGGGTATGGGTAGGGTACGGGTATCGGGTACCCGGTTACGACCTCTGGGATGAAGCCATGTTGCAGGCGCGGGTGGGTTGATTCTAGGAACTTGAATTGTGAGAAGAGACAAGACGTTGGGAAATGAGTGACAAACGGAAACTCACAAGTGACTCACGGCCTACCCGTACCCGGCCGGGTACGGTTAGCCGGGTATTGGGTAGGGTACGGGTATCAGGTAGGGTACGGGTAGCCGGGTATCCGGTAGGGTACGGGTATCGGGTAGGGTACGGGTAGCCGGGTATCGGGTAGGGTACGGGTATCGGGTACAGGTAGCCGGGTATCGGGTAGGGTACGGGTATCGGGTAGGGTACGGGTAGCCGGGTATCGGGTAGGGTACGGGTAGCCGGGTATCGGGTAGGGTACGGGTATCGGGGGGTACCCGGCTGCGACCTCTGCTGTGCCGCAGGGCTCGCTAACCGTCGTGCCGCCGCTCCCCGCCGCTGCGTGGCCCCGAGTCACCTTCCACGGTGACGGTGACGGTGTGCCGGGCGCTGCCCTCGCTGTTGGCGGCGTGGCACTGGTAGGCGCCGGCGTGGGCCGCCAGCGCGTGGTGGATCGCCAGCGTCCGGTTGAAGGCGCCGAAGGTGAATCGGCCACTCGGGAGCTCCCCGCCCACCTTGGCCCAGCGGAGATGCGGCGTGGGGCTGCGCGCACACACACACGCACACACACACACGCACACACGCACACACACACACACGCACACACACACACACGCACGCGGGGGCACACACACACACGCACACACACACACGCGGGGGCACACACACACACACACGCACACACACACACGCACACACACACGCACGCGGGGGCACACACACACACGCGGGGGCACACACACACGCACGTGGACACGCGGGGGCACACACACACACGCACACACACGCACACACACACACGCACACACGCACACACACGCACGCACGGGGGCACACACACACACACGCACGGGGGCACACACACACACACGCACGCACGTGGACGCACGCACGTGGACACACGCACGTGCGCTCGCATGCACGCACGCACGCACGTCCGTGGGTGTGCGTGCGAAACCGGCGTGGAATATGCCGTGTAGTGTATAGTGTAGTGCGTAGCAGTGTAGTGTACAGTAGTGAAGTGTATAGTCGTGTGGTGTGTGTGTGTACGTACGTGTGTGTGTACGTGTGTGTGTACGTGCGTGTGTACGTGCGTGTGTACGTGCGTGTGTGTACGTGTGTGTGTACGTGTGTGTGTACGTACGTGTGTGTGTACGTGTGTGTACGTGTGTGTGTACGTGCGTGTGTGCGTACGTGTGTGTGTACATGTGTGTACGTACGTGTGTGTGTACGTGTGTGTACGTGTGTGTGTACGTGCGTGTGTGTGTACGTGTGTGTGTACGTGCGTGTGTGTGTACGTGTGTGTGTACGTGTGTGTGTACGTGCGTGTGTGTGTACGTGTGTGTGTACGTGTGTGTGTACGTACGTGTGTGTGTACGTGTGTGTACGTGTGTGTACGTACGTGTGTGTGTACGTGTGTGTACGTGTGTGTGTACGTGCGTGTGTGTGTACGTGTGTGTACGTGTGTGTGTACATGCGTGTGTGTACGTGTGTGTACGTGTGTGTGTACGTGCGTGTGTGTACGTGCGTGTACGTGTGTGTACGTGTGTACGTGCGTGTGTGTGTACGTGTGTACGTGTGTGTGCACGTGCGTGACCCTCTGCTCACGATCATTAAGGACCTTCACGATGGCGAGCGGGCCCGGGTAAAACTACGTGGCCGGGAGTCGGAATCATTCCCTGTTTACCTTGTTGTGCGACAGGGATGTCCTCTGGCTCCCACATTATTGAACATCAATTTCGACCACGTAGTTCGTGAAGCCTTCGATGGCTGTACCGGAGGAATTTACATCTGGTACAGATACAATGGGAGGCTGATCGATGCCCGGGTGCGGTCAAGGGATGGCGCCCTATTGGTCAACTGCGTTATGTATGCCGATGATCTGGTAATTGCTGCTCACTCAGAGGAAGAGTTGGAGATGCTGCTGCTGAACCTGGAGCTTGCCACTAAGAGGTGGGGCCTTACCATCAGACCCACCAAAACTAAGCACCTGCCTGGGTATTTTGTACCATCGGGCACTCCACCCCCACAACTCCTAATTGGTGATGGGGCAGTTGTGGAGAGAGTGAAGAGTTTCCCATACCTGGGCAGTGTGCTCATGACCGGCTCTGGTTTAACAGCAGAGGTCTCACTCCGAATCAGTCGAGCGGCAATATCTTTTCATCGGTTGCGTAACGCTGTGTGGAAGCTACCTGGTCTGTCACTCCGCACGAAGCTTCAGGTCTTTTCAGCCACGGTCATTCCCTCCCTTCTCTACGCTTGCAAAACCTGGATCCCCCTAATGGAACATCTTTGCCGGTTAGAAACATTTAGGCTGGCCTGCCTACGATCCATCCTGGGTTTAACCAGACTGGATTGTGTGAGGAGCTCACAAATCCTTGCAAGATCTGGACAAAGTCCCATCGGTGAGCTCCTCCGGCAGGCACGGCTGCGTTGGCCCAGATACCGCATGCCTAAACAGCTTTCGTGTCTGTCGGTAAAGTCACGTAGATAGAATTTTTTTTTTAAAATCACGACGTTTCGATCGCAACACAGAAAGACTCAAGAGTATGCCTAAACAGCTTTTGTTCGGCAGGATAGAGGGAGCTAAACGGGCGCGGCACGGGCTAGAGAAGAGATGGAGTGATGTGGTACAGGAGGACGTTGAGCTGAGTGGACTTGCCGATGACTGGTACCAGTGGTGCCAAGATCGGCCTCAGTGGAGGAGGCTCGTGAAGGACGCTACTGGGCAGTTGGAGGCAGTCGCCCTCCAACAACAACGGAGGGCGGAGGAGCGACGCTCACAACAACGAGCGGCGCGCCGGGTGGCTAAAGCACAGCAAGTTGGTACAGTAGGGGGCACAGGTGGTGCATCAGCCAGTCATCTCGGTCATCTCAGTCAGTCGACCCCTGGCACCTGCTGGGTCTGCCCCGTGACCTCCTGCCAGCGGGCGTTCGACACTTCGCGTGGCCTCAACATTCACATGGCCTGGCACAAGCGTCGTGGTGACGTCACCGCCACTTAGTGGCGAATGGCGGTTGTTGTTGTTGTGTGTGTACGTACAACCCTTGAACGATGCAGCCCAGCAGTAGCGTGTCTCCCTGAAGCACCAGTCTGCTGCTTGTCTCACCCCCAGGCTCCACGAAAACCGGACGTCTCTTCGAGGGATGAGCTGTGTGTGTGTGCGTGCGTAGGGGAGTGGGTGGGTGGGTGGGCAGTGTCGTGGTTCGCACCGCGCTGCGCTCCCACTCCGCTGACCCGAGTTCGATTCTCGCTCACAGACAACACTTTGATTAGCTGAACCGATCCTGGGCCTCCCCTAGGTCGAATCAGCCTCAAATGAGTGCCTGGCGCGTTGTGTAGTAAACATCGCCACCGGGGAGACAAAGGCGGCCGGGCGTGGTGTTGGCCACCCCCTTGTGTGCCGTGTCGGCCTTCATAGCTGCTCGCTAACAACAGTCAGAAGGGTAAAAAACCAATTATCATATTTTTTACTGGCAAATGAGGTTCCAATGGTGTAAATGCTTCACCCCGAGCTCTCATCTGGTCCAACACCATGTGAGACTAGGCTCTAAGGAAAGCTGTCTCGGGTGTGGACCAATCAACTTCAAGGACAGTGCACACACATTATCAGAGTTATGTTTTTGTTTGCATTATGACCGCAGGTATTGTGGTCTATGCAAACATGACTTCCTTGGAAAAAAATGTGTCAGTTTTGTTGCCAGATAGAAGGGTAAAAAACCAATTATCATAACAACAGTCTGTTGAAGCTATACGGGGGGGGGTCTTTGTCAAGTTCGGCAAAACAACCCCCTACCTCCTCGTCGGTGCCGCATGAGAACGCTGTGGTGGGCAGCAGTGCCGTGGGGGGAGGGCAAATATCAATCGACCATTTCCCTCACGTTTGTAACCACCACAGCGGCCAAATGGGGGCTCTGGACAGGTGCGAGGGGCTGGTCACCCCTCCACCTTCAATAAATTCGCACAAAACAATAAAAACATATTCTAGCGGGGGCACAGGCGTCTATGACGTCTCCTGGCCAAACCCCATTTGGCGGAGCCAGGAGACTGAATCCTCACCCTCGGGGTTCCTCCAGAAACAACAAAAAGCCACTGCGGGTGGTCACGTGGAATGTTCGAACGCTCACTGCGGATGAGAGGCTGCCACTCCTCTGTCGGGAGCTGGACAAATACCACCTGGATCTCCGTGGTATTCAGGAGGTCCGGTGGACCGGCTCTGGCTCCTGCCACCATGAGGGGTAAACAGCCCTCTACTCAGGGCAGGAGACTGACAAACAACAGGGAGTGGCTCATCTTCTGAGCAAAATAATTGAAGGGGGTGTGGGAGCGTGGCGGTGAGGTGTGGGAAGCCGTAAGCCCCAGGCTACTTTGAGCTCGCCTTCCCATCAACCAGAGGCGAGGAGTGGCGGTCAAGGTTACTTATGCCCCCACAAAGATGATCATCTATTGTGGCGACAGGCCCAACTCTCATCGTCTAGAGCACTGGTCCCCAACCTTCTTGGCACCAGGGACCCGTTTCGTGGAAGACAATTTTTTCACGGACCGGGCGGAGTGGGGGGGGGGGTCACAATTGGGTCTTTCTCCCTTTTCAAAGAAGATCTCCAGCGACGTTTGTTTTGACTCATCGTGGCTACTCGGGGTTAGCAGCTCGTGGGCTCACCAAACCTGTGACTGAAACAAGTGCACACACACATGTACACACACACACGTACACGCACGTACACACGTACACACAAAGATAACAAAGATCCCCCGTGTAGCCTTAACAGAT